GGCACAGTCACACCTCCTAAAGCCTCCCGAAACAGCACCACTCACTGGAGACAGACTGTCCACATACTTGGAGCCTATGGGGGACATTCTCATTCAAACCACCAGAGATGCACAAGAGGTTAAGAAACAGTCAAGCCGGGTGTGGTGGCGCACGCCTTTAATCCCAGCACTCGGGAGGCAGAGGCAGGTGGATCTCTGTGAGTTCGAGACCAGCCTGGTCTCCATGGTGAATCCAGGGCTACAGGGAGACACTGTCTCGAAAAGACCAAAAAAAAAAGAAAAAACAGAAACAGTTAAAGCAGACCTGGTGGTCCACTCTTTAATTTTTCATCTCACTTTGCTCCGCATTTTCCTTTTTATCTAGAAAATTAAAATTTACATTTTATAAGGCATCACAGGTCATTTCCCTCTTGACACTCATCCTTGAGGCCTGGCAGAGAAAAATTGCCTTTTTTCATTTTGGAACAACAAAAACAACAACAACAAAGTTCAATCCTAATCATTCCAAGACAATTATGAGACTTAAGACACGCACCACTACATCTCTGACAGGCTTTTACAATCTAGTTTTATTATTCAGCTCTTAGAAAAATGAGAATCTCTGGAGAAGGAGAAAGGAAAATATCTGTATGAGTTCTTTAGCACAAACAGCTTAAAGGAAACAGGAAGTAAAAGACACACAGATACCACTGCAAAGGTGCACGAGGAAAAGGAGTGGCCAGAAACCCTTTATTGCCACCAAGTAGGGAAGGGACAAGGGGGGCAAGCGGCTTCGGGGAAGTGGCAGAGTAGGTGGGCACATCTTCCTCGACTCATGAACCATGAACAATAGAATTAAGCCACCAATGAGAGCTGAGTTTGGACTTTCCTGGTGACACTTATCCTCATATGATGGCCTGGTAATAATTTTTAGAGTCATATTCGAACACAACCATCCAAGTAGATGACATTTCTCTCTTGATGGTAATGGAAGCAAATTCTACCACATGATGTGGCCTACATGATCTGCCAGTAAAAAATACAGGGCATTGGGCGATGACTCTGTGGTCCTAGGAACTGGAGTTGGGATCTCACGAACCAGAGCAAGCTGCCTAGCAAGACTGGCCATACTGGTGAGCTCTGGGTATCACTGGGAGAACCTGCCTCAAGGAATAAAATGGAAGAGCAATGGAGGGTAATTCCCAACACCAACCTCGGGCCCCCACATGCATGTGCATCCACTTGCACATGTACCCACACACATTCCCACAAGCATACATGCATATACACAAATGAAAATGGAAAAAGAAAATAAAATATAAAGCAAGCCATTTTTTTTTTTTTTTACTCATTACTATCAAGAAGTGATGAGCTTTTGTTTTATAATTTTCCTTGGCAATATCAGGATATGTACCCCTGGAATTCTTCTCTAGAAATTAAAATAATAGACACTGGGAGCTGAGAGGATGGCTCATTTGGTAAACAGCCTATTGGACAAGCATGAGGGCATGGGTTTGGATCTGCAGTACTCATGTACAAGCGTGGTACAGCAGTACATGCCTGTAGCCCTAGTACCGGGGAGGGAACAAAGAAGGTGTATCCTTGGAGCTCATTAGCCAGTTAGCCTAGCTGAATCCATGAGCTTCAGGTTCAGTGACAGATCCTGTCTTAAAACCTAAGGTGGCCAGGGGTGGTGACACACAGCTTTAATATCAGCACTCAGAAGGCACAGGCAGGTAGACCTCTGTTGAGTTTGAGTCCAGCCTGGTTTATATAGTAAGTCCCAGGCCATCTGGGACTACATAGTGAGATCTTGTCTCAAAAGAGCAAAGCAACAAAAATAAGCTGGGTAGCGATTGAGGAAGATACCCAATCTCTGGCTTCTACATGTATTCCCACCCGCACATGTATACATACCACATGCACATGTGTACACACACACACACACACACACACACACACACACACATGAACATAAAAATAAAATAATAGACTCTAGCTTGATTCCTAGCTTATACCAATTGGATGGACCAGAGGAGTGATTCTCAAGGTTTTAACTTCCATAAATTCCTCTAAAAAAGAAACAGGTGGTGCTGGAAAAATTGCTCAGTGGTTAAGAGCACTGGCTACTCTTGCCGAAGACTAGGACTTGACTCCCAGCAGCCACATGGCAGCTACCAGCAATCTGTAACTCCAGTTCCAGGGAATTCAGTGTCCTTTTCTGACCTCCACAGGTACTGAACAACATGGGTGCACTTACATACATGTAGACAAAATACTCATACACATAGAATAATATTTACAAATTTAAAAAGGAACATATTAACTTTGTCTTTAACCCCATTTGCTCATTTAGCTTAGCAGATTTTATTTAGAGGCATACAGAGCCATCAACTCCAAGGTTTAGATAATAGGGACCAGTCCACATGAGTGTGAAGGAGGCAGCTATCTGCACAGAAAAGAGAAATCCCAATGTCTAAGGTCAGATTGACCTTTGGACTGACAGTAGGGGGTAGGGTAGGTGGGTGGGAGATAGGGGGTGAGGAGCCTTCCCCACCCTCCACTTTGACCTGTGATAGGCTATTGCTGTCTTGAATCCTATGGAGAGCACAGGATTTGTTTCTAAAGTTGGTCTGCAAACCTGCTGCCCTATGTCCCTTTTCCTTCTAATTGTGCTTATTCATCAAAACTTGTCCTACCTGAAAATCATGTATGTGCCTAGCCCCACATATCTGATGATTGGATTCCTACTCTTAGCAAAGAATTCAGCCAAACACAAGGGAGGGCCTAAGGTGGAATCTGTGGTCCTCCTGCAGGCTCAGCCAGCCTTCTTACCTTGCAACAGGCTGTCTGAACAGTGGGATGCAGAGGAGTTCAAAGTGAAAAGCAGGTCCTTTTCTCTGCTGCCTCTGCTCCAATTCTTTCAAATCCACTCTGCTTTCACTTAAGAGCATGGGTGTTTGCTCCTGGGCTCCATGGCTGCTAAAAGCAGCATAATTGAAGGATTCACGATATCTTTACCTCTTTGTTTAGTAAGAAATTATTCCATTTCCATGTTTAACTTGTTGGGAGAAGAATATGAAGAGCCTGCATTCCAGTTTTGTTTTGTTTTTTTTTTTTTCAGTGAAAATTCATGTTTTTTCAATCTTTGAAGAAATCAGTTTCTTGGTCTTTGGCTCAAGATGATCCATTTCATGTTGAAAGTTTCTCATTGGGAAGTTCAGTGCCATTGAGAAGAGTCAGTGGGTGAATTATTAAGTACTCACCATAGTGGGATGGGATTTCTATGTGACAAAGAAGAACCTGAATAAAGATGAACTGATCTTGGAGCTGTTTCTTCTCTGTTAAAAACTGGCAATAATGATACTTCCTCTGAAACTGTGGAGGTCTTTGAATTATTTTGAGTGCTGTTGTCTTTGTTTCTTTCTGGTCAAATCTCTAGTGCATTACTTTTTTGGTAGCACAGAAAAGGCCAGAAATACCTACACAGCACATGTGCATGTTGCATGCGGGATGAAGTTTACTTATGTCTCTTATTGATTCACTTAGCAGCATTAACAGCCATGGCAAATTAGATCATATTCTGTGGCCATAGATGGAACGATGCTTTAATGTGTGCTATTCTAAGAGTCTGGAGACATGAGGGGATGGGTGTGGACCCAATGCTATGCTAGACAAACGTTGGCTAGTGGGTACAACTGGTGTCCAAGATGCAGATGATGGGGCAAGGCTCTTGCACCTGTCAAGGGAAGCCGAGTGTGACTGGCCTTAACCAAGAGGTTTTCTTGACATGTTTGTGAGTGCCTGGGAACTGACTCCAAGGTGACACTGGCTGATCAAGGCCCAAGACTGTACTGCACATGTGTCCGATAATAGTTCTGCTGTGGACACCAACAACGCTTCACTCAGCCATCGAACTGCCGCAGTGCTCCACACTGCCAGACAAGCATTACGTTACTGACTCATCTCATCACTGGGACCAAATCTTACAAAGCACCTTAAGTAAAGAAAGGTTTATTTCAGCTCACAGTCCAGGAGATAGAATTCATCATGGCAGAGAAGGTATAGCAGCCAGATCAGCTCCTGTCCATGGTGGTGGAAGGCTGCTTGCTTTCACCATGGAGCATCTCATTCTCCACTAGCTTTCTCCTTCCCCTCGTTTTATTCAGGCTGGGACACCACCACATCCAGGGTAGGACATCCCTCATCAATTAATCCTCTCTAGAAACATTTTCACAGACACACCCAAAGAAGTGCTTACTAGTGCCCTAGGTGTTTCTTATCCAATCAGGTTGACAATCAAAATGAACCATCAGGCTGGGCATGTAGCTCAGACGGTAGAGTGACTGCCTAGCGTGCACAAAGCCTTGGGTTCCATAACCAAAACTGCATAAACTGGGTGTGGTAGAGTGTGTCTGGAAATCTTAGCACTTAGGATGTGGAGGCAGGAGGATCAGAAGTTCAAGATCATCCTAATAGGGACTAAATAGGGACTTTAAGGCCAGCCAGGGCTACATGAGATGGTGGGAGATAACCACCACAAGCACTGTCCCACTCCTTCCATCACTGGGGGGGAACCCTGGAATCTGCATTTCCCCCTAACATCAAGAGAAATGGAAAGGGGGCCTCTGGCATTTGTAGTCTTTAGTGGAAAATGGCTTTGCCTGCTGACATGGGGGGATTCCCCTGGCACAGGAAGGGGTCACATCCTGGGTAACTCAAGAGTGACAGATGTTATTCTCATGCTTGAGGTGTGGGACTATGTCATTACTTTCTTTCTTTATGAGCCAGACTCAGTACAATGCCCTGTTGGCTGAAGGTACCTACCACACTTTTGATCATGCATGCTTTGCCAGCATGCTATGAGGCATTACCGCTCAAGGATTCTAACTGCCTGGAGCAACTTTTAACACATAGTCTTTTTCTAGAGCTGTGGTTCTTCAACTGAACCCATTGTAATACGGCCATGTTATAGTCACATTCTTTGATAGGACATGTGACAAAGCTCTTTGCAAACTCACCATCCACTCAGTGAAGATCTTCTGATCCCCACGAGCATGTCACAATTTGCATGGTCTAAAAGAAATAAGGAAATGAAAGCATTTTAATCCTCCGATCTTCATTAAGTTAGAGAAAAAGACATCCTCAGCATTTTATGGTGAACGTCACAAACCCTGTACTCAGAGTGGCAAGTGCTATAATCTACAGTGCTGTTTGACAGGATGGCTCTTCCTAGTCACTTCTCGAAAGAGGGGGAAAGCTGGGAGCTGCGTGGCTGGCAAACCATCCATTTTCTGTGAAATAAGAGAAGCACTGGGGGCCTAAATGGTAAGGTTATCAAATATCTTACATCCAAACAGCTACCTTAAAATGACTCCTACACAAGCAGTGGTTTTCTCCCAATGGTAATGTTTGCTATTTTAACGGGCAATATGGCACTTTGCAGACACTGGAACCTCAGTGAATTTTCTTGGTGGTGATAACATAAATTCTCTCATATTTTGGTAACAAAAGGCTTGGCGTTTATTATTTTCTTGGAACTCATAGAGGTATTCTAAAATAGCACACTACAAATATGGGTGAAATATTAAACCTAGTGGGTAATCATTACCAATTATTTTGATGAATTCAAAATAGGTAATCATCACCAATTTTGATGTATTCAAAATACGATTGTTATTACTATCTACCAGAACAGAATTCCTGTATTCCACTCATTTAAGTTTCTTTAACATTAATAGCTCGAATACCCGTAAATCCAGTCCAAACTAAGGAATTAACACTGGTACAAACTGTTCGCTGAACTGCAGATTTCACGTGGACTTCCCACTGTTCATCTCAATGAGAGACGCAGTACTATTTGGAACTACAGGGTCTAACACATCTTCAGGAGAACAACAGTAATTCAGATTGACTGGGATTAGATACAAAGATGGCTCAGTAAGGCCACATCTAGCACTTTCTATGCCAAACACTTTGTATATTATGATCTGATTTCATCCTTCCAGAAATCAAAGGATGAGGAAAGATACAGGAAGCACCTGCAGCACCTTAGGAAGCCAAGCAATGTTTGTAAAATGGCTCTCTTGGGGGCAGGATATGGACTAATTCATAGTCTCTCTCTCTCTCTCTCTCTCTCTCTCTCTCTCTCTCTCTCTCTCTGCCCCCCCCTTCCCCCCTCTCTCTGTACATGTTTAAGAGATTAATCTTTGGTGTCCTTCCTCAGATACTGTCCACCTTGCTTGGACTAAGGCCTTTCTGATCCCAAACTCTTGATCACAAGGCTACAGAGGTATAGTAAGACAGGACATTCATCCTAGATGTGAAGGGTACTGCACATATCCAGCACCAGACCTGCCCAGGGCCAACTTCCAAAGGTCATATGGATTAACAGTGGCAGGTGATCCCAAGAGGGTGGAAATTTGTCCTATATCAATGGAGTCTCAATGAAATGGGGTTTTCAACCACACATGCTAAAAGAGAAGCTGTCCCCTTCCTCCTGGGAGAGGGTGGGGTCGGCCTGCTCTCTAGCCAGAGCGCCAGGGAGCACAGTGTAAACATCCCCACTCTTTGGCTTTCCTTTCCTGAGTGTTTTAAGGCTTAATTAAAGTGTGTAAAATGATCTGAAACTCAGGAATGAAAAGAGCCAGGGACCTGCAGAGTGCCAATGATTACCTGAGGCCAGACAGCTGTAAAAGGGAGCTGGAGGTGGGGGGGGGTGTCTGAGAGGCTGGGAGGGGGCTCTGCTCAGCAGCCAGCTGACTGGCCCCATGCCAGCTTGGACTGTTTTTTTTTTTTTTTGGCAGCCTTTGGTCCCACGCTTTCCTCTGCTCAGGAGAAATAATTCCTTCAAGGCCTGAACTGGAGCTGAAGAATGGTGTGAGGGCACAAACCCTGGCCATTTCCATGAGGCAAGCTTGAGACGACACCCATTATTCACTACACAGGACAACCTGCAAATTCCCTACATTGTTGGTCTACAGAGATGTGTATAGATACCATGAACAAGTCACACTTTTCCTCTTATCACGAAGCACAGCGCTGGTTTACTCCCATCACTTGTGGGTGGTAATGGACTGCTTTAAAATGGTGGGTAGAAAAAACTAGGAAGCCCACGCTTTTGCTCTATCTCCTAAAGGGGTGTTAGTAAAAGGGTGAGGCAATCTCATGGAGAAGGCTGAGGTGTGCAACTTTACAAGGTGACCTCGTGTGGCATTTTATTGCAACTCAAAACATGCAAAGAAGTGACAAATCTTTCTTCCAGTATAACCCATATCTACAAAGTTAGAGAGTCTTGGGGTTTTCTCCAGCACAGAGAGGGCCACTGCACATGTGTGTATATAAACGGTGGCTATATACACAGCTAAGTAGTCCAAACTGTTTATGGTGATGGAGGGGGGAAAAGGGTTATCTGGATAATCCAAAGTTTATACTGAACCTTCACCATGTGTCAGCATGCAGTCTGGCTCACAGGTAGGTTGTCATCCACCTCCAGGACCCACAATCTGAGGCTGTGGCTGCTGGCAGCAATCTACAGCTTAGGAAGGATTCACTCCTGGCTGGTAAGAGTTTCAGAGGACTTTGATCACCCTGAAGGGGGACCCACCCCAAGACTAGGTTTGTGGCTATACAATAAGATACCTACTCCCTCAATACTAGGGCCATTAAGTAGATGGAGACATCCACAAAAGAAAGGGAAAGGGGATACCCCATTTACATCTGGTTCAAGTGTCCAAAAGACACTATTTTCCCCAGCCCTTATCACGATCACCCAGGCTGTTCATCTCTGGACCCGGCACCCCGGACTGGTTCCTCATGTCTCTGGCATGTGTAAGATTACATGTCACTCATGGATTACTACAGGGTCCTCTGAAGCCACTAACCATGAATTCCTTCACACCTACAGTTGAACTAATATAATGAGAATGTCTGATAAGTCACCTGCCTTCTGTCATTTAAATAATGACAGATCTAAATTGTCCTACACACGGTTCTGAGAATGATCCCTGTAAAGCATCCTTTACAATACTGTTATGTTTATTTTGTAGGTCAACTGTCCTGAACTATACAGTGGCCTCATATCTAGCGAGACACTGTTCTGTGCATGTCTGTAAGGGTGTTGTGGGATAAGATGTTGTAGGATAACATGACTGAGAAAAGCAGATAGCCTTCTGTAACATGGGTGGGCCTTATCTAACCAGCCAAAGACCTGAACAGAACAAAAGGCTTGTCATCTCCTGAGATGGGACCTCATCCCCCAGCTTGGGTCCCTTGAGCTGGGGCATCCATTTTTCCTGTCCTTGAATTTGCAGTGAAACATCAGTTCTTTTGGGTCTTGAGTCTGTTGTTCATTAGCCCTCCTGGGTCTCTGGATTGCTGGTGCAAAGCTTATGATGACTTGGGTTTCATTACTACATGAACCAAATTCTTATTATAAATCTTAATCAACCTCTGTCCCTCCCTCCTTCCCTCCCTCACTTCTATCCTATGCAACTAATGCAAATACCTCCCTATTTCCTAACTTTATTCATTCGAGTTAGTTTTTCTTTTTTTTTCTTTTTTTTTTTTTTTTTTGACAGAGTCTCAGGGTGCCCAGGTTGGCCTCAAACTCCCTACATAGCCTAGGATGACCTTGAACTTCTGATATTCCTGCCTCTCCTTCCTGAGTGCTAGGATTACAGGTATGTGCCACCACACTCGTTTTATGTAGTGTTGGAAATCTAATCCAGGGCCTCCTGCATGGCAACTGAGCCACATCCCCAGTCCCTCATTCGTTCATTAAAAAAAAAAAAAAAAATTGTTATGCGCCAGTCACTGTTTTGTTTATTTATATTTCAAGACAGGACCTCTCACTCTGTACCCTAGGCTGGGCTCAAACTCAGAACAGTCCTCCTGCCCTGGCCTTCTATGTGCTGGGATTGAAGGCATTAGCCACCATGCCCAGCTCAGACACTTTCATGTTCTTGAAAATTCTCACTGAGAAAAGCTACAGCAGAACTTCTACCTCTCTGTGTGTGAAATAAACAACAGATTATAAAGATCCCAAATTAAGGAAGGAAAAACAGAACAGTATCACAAAGACCCTGAGACACTGGGAAAGGGACACTGGGCGAAAGCTTATGGGACTTAAAGGTTTGCCATGTGGAAATCACACTCGCCTTAAAACTCAGGGAATGTGGGCAGAAACAACTGCTCAGGTGAAATCCTCCATTGGCCACACTGTTCTCCATGTGGCACGCAGACCTCCTCCTGTCTTTTGACCCTCCATGCCTTAGCCTTGCCTGGACTGCTCTCTCCAGTGGACACTTCCTTCTCCCCATTCTTCTACCCATCACGGTGAAGTTACTCAGAGACTAATCCCAGCCCAAAGCCAACAACATCCCCAGGCTGGACAGTTCATAGGAAGTGCCAGCCTTTCCTAGGCCCGGGGCCTGGACTCACCCTGTAGAAGATTCAGCTAGATACAGCCCCCGAAAGTGATGCCATCAGGCAAGAGGGAGGTGATGACATTCTCTGGCCTGTCCCTTCCTGTCATTCTCCACTCTCAGCTCCTCCTTGGCTGTACCCACCCTCCAGCCAACTGACCCAGGATTCTGTGACACCCAGGTGGCAAAAGCGGTTCCAGCAACCTAGAGAAGAATGAATTTGAGAATGGCTCTGAAGACAACTGGTCCCAGGATAGGGACAGTTGGCACTTGACATAGATAGAGCCTTGGGGACATGATTTAACTGAGGTGGGGTGACCACTGCAACTGTTTGTTTTGAGGACACTGCTTTCACTTCCACAGCCTAGGTCAGCACCTCGGTCATTGCTTGATGCATTTACAAGTGGACAAATGAGGGAATTCTTGAATGAAGAATGAATGAATGAATGTCAGTTTCCACTGATACCTCTCCAGGTATGCTCTAGCCCTAAGGACTTGTTTACCAACAGGGCTTCTTTCCAGCATCTCATCAATAAGTGGTGCTAAGATTATTTGGTGCCTAACGTTTGCAAGATTTGAAGGACACATGGATGGTATAACTATAAAATGACTAGCGTGCTTTCAACAAAGAGATCAAATTAATTCACCAAATGAGTTTTGCACAAATCCTTCCAAGGGGGTTTCTGCACACATCTCCTCCAACTCCCTGCCCTGCCTAGCCACATCCTCACCAGATGTATCAGAAAAGGCATGACCCTTGGAAGTTTCGGTCTGTTCAGTTTGATGTCACCCAGCCCTTCACCTGGCTAGCCATCAGGCAGGTTGGGACATATCATGAGAAGTGACACTTCATTTTGGCAGAGAGAAGGAGGAAGTAGATGGCCACAAACAGAACTAGCTGCTGACCTTCCCACGGTGCAGGAGAGCTGAGAGGTGACTCCTTGGAGGCCCATCAGACTCTAAGTGCCTCCAGGTCTGCACAGGGCCACCCTGGATTTCACTCATAGCTCATCTGGTATTTAAAACACCTTGACTTTCCAGGGTTTATAAAACTGTTCAGTGGGAATGCTAGAAAGATAATCAAGTTCCACATAGGAAACGCACCCCTGCCCCCCAGGTGTGTAAAGCAGAGTCAGTTCTGTTTCTGACAGAGAGCAAAAAGGAGTACATGGGTGACTGTGGTACTGTTCAGCGTGAAGCTGGTAGGCTTCTACCTGCCTGGGTGCTTTGGGGAGAGAAATCTGAACAGCCAGGACCTCATTAAGCTGAAACTGAAATATTTTTAAAAAGCCTCATGTGCCCATGCTGTGGATTGTGGCATCTGCTGTAAGACGACTCAACAAACCTACCTGCATTCCCACAGCACTTCCAGAGTGGAGGCTGAGAGGGCCAGGTGGTATGCTCCAAGACCAGGGCTTGCTCGAAGTGTGAAAGACCTGAAGCTGAGATTCCAGCTGCTCTGTTGACCCACTAGGTGGCTTTCGGCTAGTGGCTTGTGGGATCTCCATTTCTTCCTTTGAAAACTGGGGATTATAATATGTGTTTTCCCTCGGATGTGTGGTAAAGGTCAAATGAGAAAGTACCATCAAGTACTTTGAAGATTCACAAAGGTAACATCTTACAACACCAGACGGGAGAAAAGGTAGCTGTGATGTTTAATTAATAATGTTTAAAAATCTCCCAGTATACTTACTTAGCTATAATTAGAAGGTGAAGAGCACTTTTCAAAGGGACTTTTTCTCCTCCAAAAATAGAACTCAGAAGGTGCATATTTGATTTTCTTTCTGGTGTAAACCACAGCACCATAGCTATAAACAGTCTTACAGAATCACAGCCTTCAAACTTGGTGATACCAAAGACAAGGAATGTGTGAGTTGCCAAGCCTTCAAACAGGTTTCCCAAACTAAAGCACTATTACCTTGACCGAAGGGCTAATAGAATTGTCTTCTTAGATGAGCACTTAGAAGATTTAAAAGTTGCCTTCCAGGTGGGCCATAGTAAATGGATGATAACTAAGAAACGCTGGAGGTAGGGGTGATGTGGGGTGGAGTAAGGGTGAGGTGGAGTGGGGTAGGGGCAAACCTGCATGGAGGGGTCTCATAACTCCTGTAACAAATAGCTTTCTCCTGTGGAGAAAGAGAAGCCTAGAATTTACAGTCTTCCTAATGGCACAAGGGCTGATTTGTGTATCAATCTAGGATCATAATTTACTTTTGGTTTATGGGATTTGTGAATTTTCGCATTTGTTTTAATTTGTAATTAAGTTCTCTCTACGAGGCACACCATATGCCACCATTAATTCTTGCTCGTTGATTTCTTAGGAGATACATGAGCGCATATTTTGATGTAATTTTGGAGGTCTTTTGAAAATCAGATGACTACGTGGTTAGCCATATGGGGCTTTGTTATTTAAAACAGATTCATAAAGCAAAATGCAAAAAGACCTGTTAACGGGAAAAGATTGGGGAAAAACTGGTCCGAAACACACAAACTGTTCACTTTTTTTTTTTTTTTTTTTTTTGAGATGTTCCTGAAATCCCTGTGGATCCCGCGAGGTCTCTTACCTTCTGCGAACGCACTCTACACCACAGGTGCACAGAGCTAGCCTCCAGCCACCGCTCCTGTGCTCTGCACCCGGGCCGCTAACATCTGCCTGCAGGGAGTTCCGTCGCAGTTAGCCGTTCTCTCTGGCCCAGGAAGCCCGGGTCCCTCCAGACCTCCGGCGGCGAGCGCGAGCCGGAGGCCCTGGGCGGCTCCGCGTTCCCGCCCGCGCCTTCCCGGGGCTCCCCCTCCGCAGCCGCCCCGCTGTACGTGC